TGCCCAGGCGGGTCTTGAACCCACGGGCTCAGACAATCCACTCACCTCAGCCTCCCAAGGTGTGGGATTACAGGTTGAGCCACCGAGCCCGGCTCACCTCACTTTTTTAATGCTAAGTCTCAGATGTATTTTTTTTTTTTTTTTTTTTTTTGAGTTGGAGTCTCACTCTGTCACCCATACTGGAGTGCAGTGGCCGCTCCCAGCCACCGCAGCCTTGACCTGCTGGGCTCCGGTGATCCCTCCGCCTCAGCCTTCCAAGTAGCTGGAACCACAAGCGTGCACTACCACGCCCAGCTCATTTTTGATTTATTGTAGAGATGAGGTCTCACCAAGTTGCCCAAGCGGGTCTCAAACCCGCGGGCTCAGGCAATCCATTCACCTCAGCCTCCCAAAGGCTCAGGATTACAGGCTGAGCCACTGAGCCCAGCTATCAGATATATTCTTAACCACCTTCTATTCCCTCAGAAAGAACTCACTAGTATCTACCAAGTGTCAGCTTCTACGATAAGGTTGATTTCAGTGGAGATGCTCAGATTTGCCCTTTTACTTGAGATGTTTCAGAACATGTCTAATGTCCAGAGTCCTATGACTGTTGTCCAAGATGCTTATGGGAAAAAGGGATAACTCCAGAGTTCTGTGTGGGATTCTTTTTTTGGAATCTCTCTGTAGCCCAGACTGGAGTGCAGTGGCATGCTCTTGGCCACCGCAGCATCAACCTGCTGGGCTCAGGTTCTTTCCGCCTCAGCCTTCCAAGTAGTTGGAACTACAGGCGCGTGTCACCACGCCTGGCTAACTTTTTTATTTACTGTAGAGACGAGGTTTCACCAGGCTAGTCTCAAACCTGTGGGCTCAGGCAATCCTCTCCCCTCAGCCTTCCAAAGTGCTGGGTTCGTAGGCATGAGGACAGTATATTTTGCCTGGCCTTCAGAATTTCTATAAACACAGCAGACAACCCAAAAGTGTACCAAAAACTGGAAACTGTGATGAGAACAAAAGAAATCTTAAGGCATGTGATAACTACAGGAAGCTCCATCTCAAAAATCAGGTCCAACAAGGGAATGAGTTAATGAGGGAAAATCTCCCATATGAAGTGCCAGGAAAAGACAGGAAGCAGGGATTACCCCGCCTTAGCCAAGGCCTCAAACTAGGCATGGGGCTGCAGCAACCGTTAGACTCAGGATAACACCAATAGGAGAAAGTTGCCAGTGGCAAGCTGCTGAGCACCCAAGGGACACAGATCACCATTTAGACTCAGGAATACCTATGAGCACCACCAGGCAAGAGAGGTTTGAACTGGCTTGTTTAAAGAAGCTATCCCAGACTGTGAAGCCACTGGTTCTGCAGCCATAGGGCAGCTGCTGGATCCCACGGGCGTTGACCAAGATCTGGGCCAGCTTGTCTTAGTTGGGCCAGAATTCATTAGCAGCTGGTGATGGGGGGTGGAAGGATCTAATTCTCAGAAGTTAGCTTTGGATGGGTTGAAGCTTAGGGAAAACCAAAACCCACCCAAGTAAACCTGTCTAGGATTTTCAAACTTCCACTATGCTTAATGTGAACAACTCCTGCCAGGGGGCAAGTACCTTGTCCCCAACCTTACATTCTAGAAAAAGCGTTCTGTGGAACTGCTCTGGAAATGCTATAAGGCAAGACCAGAGCAAGAGGTAAGAATGCAACAAGGTCTCTGGGCTGGAAATACTCAGCACAATGGCAGGGTTAGTTGTCAAGAGCATGCTGAAGGGGAGGTGAACTAGAAAACTGCTCCTGTTGGAAAGGACTAAGTAGTCCTGGAGAGATCAGCAGTTGACAGATGGAGTAACCTCCATGTCTTAATAGATTTTTCCAGAGACTTTCAAAAGCCAGGAAAAGCCAAGGTTCTCCTACCCCTAAACACCCTCCTTCACCCAGAACCTGTTGGCAAGTTTTATATCCCTTAGTCCTTAGCACCCCAGATTCAAGCACTCAGCGTCCTGTTGATCCAGATTCCAGCAATCCCTAACCGCCTACAGCCCCAGAAACCTTAAGGTTCACCGAATACTATTCCCATTGGAGACACGGTGTGGCATACTTGCCCAAACTTGCTCTTTAACAGCCAGAAGCACACTTGTCCCAAAGTTAGGGTCCCATAATTACCTCGGCACTACTGGGAAGGGCCCCAGATAGGGAAGACGACTGAATCTCCAGGGATTCCAAGAGTTTCATTCAAGGCAGGTCTGCAGATGCCAGAACCAACCAAACAGCAGGACTATTACTGAAAAACAATTTATTCTAAAATCTGGGATTTACAGAGAATTATCAACCATATCAAGGTTGTGGAATAATATTCCTGGGGTTACCACCTATGTATGTGCAATCACTTAGACCTATTTTCAGGACACAGAAGTTCCTTACACATTAAAGAATCTCAGGAAACTCCAAGTGGAAAACAATATACTTTATAGACAGTTGGCTATAGAAATATAGCTGAAGTGACATTAAGCAATCCCAGGTATTTTAATCTGGAAAAAAACAAAAACAAAAACCGAAACAGACACAATCCTTAGAAACAAGTTTATTTTCCGCCAACCTTATTTCCGTGTTGCTTAAGAGCCTGTGTTGCTTAAGAGGTTAAGACCACTCAGTGGTTGTCCCTACCCATTCAGTGGCCTGAGCAGTGGGAGCTGCAGACCAGTCTTCTGTGGCAGGCTGAGCACTCCAGTCTTCTGTAAAGAAGATACCAAAAAAGCCATCAGCTCTGTCCCCCAATATAGTATTTTCCTTACACCATCCCCAACAACAACCAAGCAGTAAGTACTGCATTATTTATTTCAGAGGACAAAGCTGATGGCCGGCACATTCCAAAGGCACCTGAATTCAACCTATGTATTTGCAGCTATAGTACATTAAGATGAAAACCCCTAACACTAGTGTAATAGCCACACAAAGTATTAAAGTTACAAGTAAAACTTAAAAGTTCCAAAGCACAGCATGATGCACTTGTGTCTGGATACATACCAGTAGGAAACTGCTGAATTGGCACAGAGGGCACCTGCACACCTTCAGACCAGTCTGCAACCTCAGGCTGAGTAGCAGTGAACTCAGGAGCTGGAGCAGTCCATTCACCCTGAAATTCTTCTTTGGTCACAGCTTTTTCAGCAGCAGCCTGCTCTTCCTTTTCAATCTGGTTACAAAAAAAAAGGCTTAGAGGAACTGACAAACTTTGCTTCCTAGAAGCGTAGATCAATGTCCAATTCGCTAATGTGACCGCAAGCCTTTGTGGAAGAAGCTTACCTCTTCAGGATCTCTGTAGAAGTAGAGATCAGGCATAACCTCCCACGGGTGTTCACGGGATATGGTGCCACGCATGCGCAGAACTTCTCGAGCCAGCATCCACCACATCAGACCCACTGAGTGAGCTCCCTGCAAGAGTGCCAGATTATTAAAAAGTGACACCTGGTCAACCCAAACAGCAAGCACCTCCCCATTCACCTCGCTTGCTCCTACATCATCTAGGTGCCTTGGTACCAAAAGTACAGACCTTAGTTTAAAAGCACAACAAGAAACTACATATCAGAGTCCTCAACCTTGTCTGCACACTGGAATCACAGGTATTAAAAGAAACAACACTGTAGTCAGGACTCCACCCCATGCAATTAAATGAGATCCCTAGGAGTAGCACCTGGACATTGGCATTTTTAAAAAGGCTTTGGGCAATTCATGTGCAACTAGGGTTTTAAGACCAGTTACAAATGAGCCAACTTGAATCACATACAACCCACCTTTTTGGAATCCTATAGCAGAACTCATCAAGTAGATGTGAAAACAGAAAGGCCAAGTAATACCTGAGGCCTAAGTAGAGCAAGAAATATGGACAAAGGCAAAAGAAAACAGATCATTTTTCAAATGTTTCCATCTTTCCTCAAAGTTAAGGCAGCATTGACATTACACTTGTAGCAAGGATTACTATCAAACTCCACTCATTGGGCCAGAGACCCTTGTGGTGTTAGCGAAAAACTTGCCCCTCGTGTAGCACACTACCTACACTTGAGAGTTCATCAGCCAGTCAGTGGCCTCAACTCCAAGCTCTAACAATGTGCATAGGAATGCCTAGCTTTTCTAGAGTACTCATTCACAACTCTACATCATGAAGCCATTACCTTATTGTTGCACGGGATGGCAATGTCCACATAGCGCAGAGGAGAGTCTGTGTTACACAGAGCAATGGTGGGCAGGTTAACATAAGATGCCTCTGTGAGAGGCTGGTGGTCAGCCCTGGGATCAGTAACTACCAGCAGGCGGGGCTCCCGAAAGGCTGCCTGGATCTGGTTGGTGAAGGTTCCAGGAGTGAAGCGACCAGCGATAGGAGTGGCTCCAGTGGCGGCAGCAAACTTCAGCACAGCCCGCTTTGAAAAAGAGTTAGTACCCCAGAGATGACTTCTCAAAAATGAACGCATCAAATTGAAGTGTTAATTCTTCTATGCCCTCTAGCTTAACTGAAAGCACTTACAAAACGACAGCCAAAAAAAAACACCTTAACCCCTTTCTGCTGAGAATGCATTTCCCACTCCCAATTTCTCCCTCAGGAGCCTGGCGCACAGGCAACCACTCTTCTGAAGGCTCCAGGACCACACTGCCTAGTTTTAAGTACCAAGTGGGCCTCTGTGATTTGGGCAAGATATTCACGTACTTCTAATTTCCTGAATATATCTAACATAGAACAATGTGTTGCAGCCAGTTAAGCACTTATGACTTCTGGTCAGATTTTATCCCAGCTACCCCATATAAACCAGGCCGCACTCAACTTTCTTCACACTCTTTTCCTTCTCCAGAGACTATTTCCTGCATTCCCTTCAGAAAAGACTTGACTGCTTTTCTGCTATATCCCAAGCACATATCAACACTACCCAGTCCAATCTAGAAGCGCAGTAAATTTTTCTGAAGCAATGACAGTGGTCACTTGGTTCATTCTACATCAATTAAGCAAAACTTTCTTCCACCATGTACCAAACTACATAGAGTCCCAATCACAAGTCAGCCCTTCAGGAATAAATAACCTTCTGCAAAAACACTCATGGGAGCCTCTCGTCAAAAATGAAATAGAAAGTCTTACTTCATCATCTTAAGAAATCTGTCGAAATATGTCACATCCAAATCAAGTTTTAAATCTGACAAATCTAAGTGGATGAAATCCGAGTTAGAATTCATAAGTCAGTTTAAGAAATCTACTAATTTTCTCCATAGAAAAGCAAATTGTAAGCTGGGAAGTGGCTCATGCCTTTAATCCCAGCACTTCGGAAGGCTGAGGCAAGAGGATTGCTTGTGTCCAGTAAATGATCAGCCTAGGCAACATAGCAAGATCTTGTCTCTAAACACACACACACACACATTAGCTGGGTGTGGTGGTGCATACCTGTAGTCAAGAGGCTGAGGCAGAAGGATCTCCTAGCCTTGAGCCCAGGTCAAAGAAGCAGTGAGCCATGATTGTGCCACTTACTCCAGTCTGGGATGCAAATCAGTCTCCAACTCAAGATAAAATACTCACCTAATTGTCAAAGTAAATCTAGGGCAAAAAGATCTAAGTTTTACCTCACTTTTAAAAATACAAATTAAGCCAGGAGCAATGGCTCAAGCCTGTAATTCCAGCACTTTAGGAGGCAGAGGCCAGAGGATTACCTGAGGTCACGGGTTCAAGACCAGCCTAGGCAAACTGACGAGACCTCGTCTCTACAATATATCAAAAAAATTAGCTGGGCATGGTGGTGCGCACCTGTAGTTCCAGCTACTTGGAAGGCTGAGGTGGAAGGATTGCCTGAGCCCAGCAAGTTGAGGCTGTGGTGGAGTGTGCCACTGCCCTCTAGCCTGGGCAACAGAGTGTGATTCCAACTCAAAAAAACAAAAATACAAATTAATTTATTTTTCATTGAAGTTGGCAAAAATTCATTAATATTTGTTTGAGACAAGGACTAGTAGCCTAATCGAAAATCTTTGCAGTGAGTGGGTGTCACATTCTTTGTCCCAGCATTTTATCATTCTAATACAAAATAAAAATGAAAATCCCATGTATGTTGAACAATTCAATATTGGCAAGTCCTATGCTTCAGTCCAATTGAAGATTTCTCATGTATCTGTTGGCTGCTCACATGTGGTACATATACCCGATGGATTATTTATGCAGTCACAAAAAACAAAACTTTGGACTTTGCAACAACTTGGATGGCTTTAGAGTGTATAATACTCAGTGATTTATCACAGAAACAAAGATCTGAGTACTACATGCACTCAGTCATAAGAGGACCCTAAACATTTATTGTGATACTACAAGAAAAGGATTGCCAGTAGGACACTGCAGTGGGGAAAGGCATATAACATCAATAAGGGTACCCAAACTTTACCAGCAAGATGACCACTTATGTACCCAATCCTGAACTGTACCCATCTTTAAAATAAAAATAATATTTAAAAGTGAAAAAAAAATTCTCAACGGTGGAGTTATGGGTTATTTTTACTTTCTTTTTCTCCAGCTGGGTAGTGTTCTAGGAACCAACTGGCATCACCAGCTACCGTTGTTGAGAGGCTGTGTTCATCTTCAGTGAATTTTCACGGACTGTGTTTGTCCATTTCATGATGGATGATTTATGAGTGCACCTGCTCACACTGTACTTAGGAATTCAGCGGGTTTAAAAAAAAAACAAAAACAAAAACGGGACAACTCCCATGCCCCAACCTCCCTATTCACCCAATCTAGCTGGATCTGTTTCCCCAGATGAAAAGTCCTCAAAGGGAAATGTTTTAAGCAGTGGAAAAAGAGTCTCAATAGATGTACTGCATCAAATGGAGAGTCCTTTGAAGGTGACTTAAGTTTAAACATTTAAGAATACACAATTTTTTAATAGATTCTTTTTTTGGGTCCCCCCCTTATATATTTCCCACAGTATCTATAGATTTCTATAAAAAATAAGCATTGCTTCACAAACCTGGCCAGTATTCCTGGAAGATATGACACTGACATCAGCAGGGTTTTCAATGGCAACAATGGCACGAGCTGCAAGCAGAAGCTTCTCCCAGGTCCTCTTCAGATTTATAATGTAGATGCCTAAGTGAGGGAAGGAGAATATTAACACTTGCCCTAGCTGTGAAAATACACATCATTCCAAAAAATTGAGTGTATGTGGCAGCAAGTACTATCAAACTCCAGTCATGGAGGCAAGCTCTACTGGTGTTAGCGAAAATCCTGCCATTAATATAGCACACTTCCGACACTCAGAAGTTCACAGGCCAAGACTGGCCTCCACCCTGAGCTTTAATAGTGTGCAGCCTCGATTCAGTCAGCAAAGCCCATTATTTTCCTTTTTCTTTTCCTATAATAGGACTTCACCAGCCTCCCTGCACTCCTACATGTTTTTACCCACTTCCTGACTTCTCCCTTCATTACCTACATTGATGCCAGTTTCATTCTAAAACCCCTGTACAGCATACCATTTCCAGGTTTAAATTCTTCAATGGCTTCATCTCCAAAAGCTAAGGTGCTTTAGCCAGTTTAATGTCTCCCACATTTTTGTCACTACCTATCTTCCCTCTTCGACAAACTGTTTATTTCCACCTCTGGCCTTACTTTTCTCTCAGAATTCAGTCAAATCTTTTATCAGTACCAATTAAGTTGAATGGACTTTGGAAGGCAAGTTATTAGGCACTCAGCTAATAGGTTTCTTCATCTTCACATCTCACACCTTCCTGACTCAGCCCAAGTCACATCACTTAAAAGCTTTATGTGGTACCTCATGCCTGAAATCCCAGTACTTTGGGAGGCCAAAGAGAGTGGACCGCCTGAGCCCGTGGGTTCTAGACGAACCCAGGCATCTTGGCAAGGCCTTGTCTCTACAATAAATAAAAAATTAGCTGGTCGTAGTAGCACACACCTGTAGTTCCAGCTACTTGGAAGGCTCAGGTGGAAAGTTCACCGGAGCCCAGCAGGTCGATGCTGGGGTGGCCATGAGAGTGCCACTGCACTCCAGGCTGGGTGACAGAGTGAGACTCCAACTCGAAAAGCTTAACAATTGCCATATTCTTTCACTGGTGCCCAGGAATCGTTCCTCCCAAAACAACCAGAACATTTCCTTAGTGCTAATGCACATTTCCAATCTAGGAATCCGATTTTGTTTATTATTTCGCAGAGACCTTTGAGGCAGAGATGTCAAAATTATTTCACCCAGTACTCCATCAGAAGAGGTTGAAATTTCTACTTACAACTAAATAACAAAAAAATTAAACCAATGACCGACCATCACTCTTCCTTTTATAGATGTACTGTTCCATTTGGAAGTCAAGGTTGGTGCCACCTAAGTGGGTGCCTGCTGCAAGGAATTTGAGGACATCCTCCTCCTTCATTTGCAGGACATCAAGGGCTCCGGACATTGTGAAAGTTTCCCTTTAAGTTACGACGGGAATCTGAAAAACAGTTAACAATCTAGTTCTTTTTACTCCAGTGAGTCAAGGGCAGTCGCTAACTAATCCACTTAGGGGTGGCTAACTACTACCAATGAAGGCAAATTCATAACATAAAAGCAACCAAGGACTATCCCCCTTCTACATTATGCATTGAGATTACAATGTAATGAAGGCAGAAAACCCAGTGGAACATGAACAGACATACGCCCCAGATTACAGAACTTTAGTAAATCTTGCTGAGATTAATAGTGTAGACGGCAGCATATCCAGGAAATCCAACTAGAAGGAAACAGTAAACTGAAATTCAACACTTCACAAGTTACCCAGGAACTAAGGAAGAGTGACGGACAAGCAAAAGTAACAACCAGATGTGAACAGAGCAGCCCAGCCATGTTTGGATACACAAGGAGAGGAAATGTAGGAAACACGTGAACTGGCCTCAGACATTTCCTAACACATTGCAGGTGGGCGCTTTGGAATTACTTCGCCAAGCAATTTTACAACTTGTCTCAAAACCCTGCGAAGAACCTTAACTCCTGACCAGCGTAACGTGATCGGGAAAACCCGACCAGTACAAGTCGCTGGTACAAATCAGCGCCTGGACCTCGATCCACCGGCAGTTTACAGGGGCGACGCAGTGCATGTTAGCCCGCGTTCTGCACCCCTACCCCAGCCCCGGCCCAAACCCTGGGACTGGCTAGAGCGCGGCCTCCGCCGGCGCCCGGTGCACTATGGGTCCCCGCGAGACAGGGCCCAGCCACGTGCAGGCAGCTGGCCTGAGGCAGCGCGCACCGAGGAGACACACCCGGCCCCATCGGCTTCCATTCTTAGTCTTCGCAACCCTCATCTGAGCCGGAAACTCGTTCTGGTGACCTGGGGAGGAACCAGGGACCCCACAATGGACTCACTGAGAACAACGCCGTATGGACCCCTCTGCGGGTAGCGCGGAAAGGACAGGCTGCCGGAAATGACGTTGTTATATACTCCATCCTCAGCCAATGGCAAAGAAAGACGAGCGGAAGTAGGGCGGAGCCTCTCTTTCTGGGAGGCGGGCTCCTGGTTGCGCGGCGCTTGGTGGCGGCCTATTCCGAGCTGGAGGGGTTGTGTCTTCGGGGCTTTCCAGTACCACAGCGCCGTTCCGCGCCTTTCCCGACATAGTTTCTATCCAGAAGGCAGAAAAGCCAGCCCGCCAGCCGAGGAGTTCTGACCCAGCCGTTTGTACCTGTGAACTTGAGCCGCGTCCTGAAGCTGCAGCTTCCAGACCTGTCACGTAGGGAGGTTTGTTCAACACAACAGGCCTAAGTGCTCGGAAAACAAAAGCTGAGGGCTTTAAGTGTTCACTTACGAGAAGTTTCCCTAAAAAAAATAAAAAGGACAGGATTGCACAAATTGTATACATAAGATTTTTTTCTTTTTTTTTTTTTTTTTTTGCTTTGGTGGAAAAATGTTGCAGTATCAATAGGAGATAAGGTTTGGGTTTTTATTATGATTATTATTTTAAAAGATGGCCGGGCCGGGCTCGGTGGCTCAGCCTGTAATCCCGCGCCTTTGGGAGGCTGAGGTGAGTGGATTGCCTGAGCCCGCGGATTCAAGACCCACCCGGGCAACTTGGCGAGCCCTTGTCTCTACAATAAATCAAAAATCAGCCGGGCGTAGTAGCGCGCGCCTGTAGTTCCGGCTACTTGGAAGTCTGAGGCGGAGGGATCGCGGAGCCCAGCAGGTCGAGGCCGCGGTGGCCTGGAGCGTGCCACTGTAACTCCGGTCTGGGCGACAGGGTGAGACTCCGACTCAAAAAGTTAAAAATTTTTGTTTGCTTAATTTTTGGAGCTGGTAACACTTGTTGGTTCAATCCTCTGTTTTGGGATATTATATTCATATTATTTCTTGCTTTTTGATTTTTTTCTTTCAGAAAGACAAATACCTTCTCCAATACATTATTATTGTTTCTCTCTCTGAAATTCAAGGTTGTATATTACGACTTTTTTTTTTTTATTCAATAGGTTCACGTGCAGGTTTAGCAACGGCACTTTGTAAAGTGAGGCTTGAGCTATTGAGCCTGTCAGTCACCCAAGAGCTAGTCACAGTAGCCAGTGAGTAGTTTCAACCCTTGTTCCCCCTCTCTCCCTTTCCCCTTCAGGAGTGCCCCAGAGTCTGTTGTCCTCATCCTTGTGCCTGTGTGGATACAGTGTTTAGCTCTCACTTATTAGAAGGAACATACAGTATTCAGTTTTCTGTTTCTGTGATAAGTTCACTCAGGATGATGGTCTGTAGCTACATCCATATTGTAAAGGACATGATTTTGTTCTTTTTTTTTAAAATGGTCATGTAGTAGTACATTGCGTATACAGAGGGTGCCAAAAAAAAGTATACTTTTTTTGGTTTTGTTTTTTGTTTTGAGCCAAAGTCTCACTGTCGCTCAGGCTGGAGTGCAGTAGCATGCTCATGACCACCGCAGCCTCAACCTGCTGGGCCCAGGTGATTTTCGCTTCAGCCTTCCAAGTAGCTGTAACCACAAGCATTCGCCACCATGCCTGGCTGATTTTTTTTATTTGTTGTAGAAATGAGGTCTCACCATGTTGCCTAGGCTGGTCTTGAACCCATGGACTCAATCAATCCTTTCTTCTCTTCCTCCCAAAGTACTGGGATTATTGGCATGAGCCACCGTGCAGGGCCAAAAAATATATACATTTTTTTTTTTTGAGTTGGAGTCTCACTCTGTCACTCAGACTGGAGTGCAGTGGCCGCTCCCGGCACCACAGCCTCGCCTGCTGGGCTCCAGCGATCCTTCTGCCTCAGCCTTCCAAGTAGCTGGAACTACAGGCGGGCGCTACCATGCCTGGCTAATTTTTTGATTTATTGTAGAGATGAGGTCTCGCCAAGTTGCCCAGGTGGGTCTCAAACCTGCAGGCTAAGGCAATACATTCACCTCGGCCTCCCAAAGCGCTGGGATTACAGGCTGAGCCACCGAGCCCGGCCTATACATTTTAAGAAAGCAAAAAACCTTTAAAATTGTAGTACACAATATATACCAATAACAAAAGATGAATACAAGTCACATTTGACTTCTGCAATTATAAAGGGTGCTCAGCCTTCCAAGTAGCCGGAATTACAGGCATGCGCTACAACGCCCAGCTAATTTTTTTTGATTTATTGTAGAGATGAGGTCTCGCTGCCCAGGCGGGTCTCGAACCCGCGGGCTCAGGCAACCCACTCACCTCAGCCTCCCAAAGGCGCCGGATTACAGGCTGAGCCACCGAGCCCAGCATAAGATTAATTAATTATTAACAACAACAACAACAAAAAGGCCAGGCACAGTGGCTCAGCCTGTAATACCAGCACTCTGGGAGATTGAGGTGAGAGGATTGCCTGAGACTGGGGTTGGAGATTAGCCTGGGCAACTTGATGAGGCCTCATCTCTACAATTAAAAAAAAAAAAAAATAGCCGGAAGTGGTGGCGCATGCCTTTAGCTACTTGGAAGGCTGAGTCGGAAGGATCACCCGAGCCCAGCAGGTTGAGGCTGTGGTGGCAGTGAGCGTGCCATTGCACTCCAGCATGTGTAACAGAGCGAGACTCCAATTCAAAAAAAAAAAATTATTCCAATACAATACTATGCAGGCATAAAAATAATTTAAATATGTTCTATTGTTATAGGCTGAAAAGAGGCCATTTTGGTTATGTTAGAATAGTCATTTAGAAAAAACTTAAAAACTTGTATTCTTTTGTAGCTGAGTTGGGCTAAACATAAAAGCTGCTTAGATTCAAAAATTTACATTTTCTCTGCCGCCACCTCCTTCTCTCCTAGCACGGCCTTGCCCTGGCCAATCCTTTTTTTTTGAGCTGGAGTCTCACTCTATCACCTAGGCTGGAGGGCAGTGGCATGCTCATCGTCACCCCAGCGTCGACCTGCTGGGCTCTGGTGATCCTTCCACTTTGGCCTTCCCTACAGGCACTCCAAGCTAATTTTTTATTTTTATTGTAGAAACGAGGTCTCCTCAAGTTGCCTGGACTAATCTTGAACCCATGGGCTCAGGCAATCCACTCGCTTTAGCCTCCCAAATTGCTGGGATTACAGGCTGAGCCACCAAGCCAGGCCACCCTGGCCAGTCTTATCTAGTTAGCCATTGCTGGTGCTGAAAAGGAAACAGCCAGGCAAGCCAGACCACCTAATGATTAGATGAAAACTTGAAGCGGGCATTGCCCACCTCCCCTCCACCTGTGAATACAAGGACATCGGAGTGTTACAGGCCAGGGCTCTGGGAATAAAAGATTGTTACAATTATATTTTAAAACAATTTAAAGTTACCATCTTAAATGTCATGATTTTCTCTTTTTTCCAAATACTGTAATGGTCAGCCCCTTCCTTTAAAAAAACTGTAAAAACATATTGTAAGTTCCAAAATGTTTTCTAAAATGTCAGCATGATCAGGAGACTACGTCACGTTGGTGGTCACATATCAAACATCGTTAATGTAAATCTTGACTCATGCAAAAACTGCATTTAAGTTTCAAACTCAGGGTGAGTAAAGGGCTATGGATTTTAGGTATAAATACTAGAATGAATTTGTGTTGCTTTGGGTGGGTTTTTGGCAGTGATGCCAACTGTCTCCCTATAACCTGGCTATGAAAATTAAACATTTCCTTTTCTCCCAGTCTCTGCCTCTTGTATTTTAATTGACAGTGAGGGATAGCAGCCAATAGTTTGGATTGGGCCACAACACTATGATATTAAAAAGAATTGCAAGATAAGGATGATTATGAAAAAAGAAATGTTGAAGCCCTATACGTGAAAAGATGACTGTGTGATTATGAAGAAATAGTCCATAGCCAAATTGTTAATTATGCAATAGGTCTCAACCCTAGCTGCACTTAGAATCACTTGGAGAGTTTTTAATCATACCATGCCCAACCCTAAACCAAAAGTAGTTCCCAGATAATCCTAATTTGTAGCCAGGCTTAGAACCACTGATTAACTGTAGAGAAACTGGATGATTTCCCCCCCTCATTTTTTAGTATTTTTCAAAGAACACAAGATTGTTTTTAAATTAAACAAAAACCCATTTTAATAGAGCTGACATAGAAGGAAAGGAATAAACAATTATCATGGCTTTAAGCTTTTCTAAAACTACTGAAAACATCTGAAAATAAAAGGAAGACTTAAAAATACCTATCTGAAAACAGAATGAATAGAGCTTTTACGGACAGTTTGTAAGTGTAGAATTTCTCTGGGGAACCTTCTGGGACACCCCCAAACCATCTTAGCAGCTCCCCCTAGTCACTTGGAGTCTCGTGAATACTTACATTATAACCAACAGGACATTTTGTAGTAATTATGCTTAGGTCTTTGTTTCCCCAACAAAATCATAAGATTTTTTTAAATAAAATAACTTTGTCCTTGAAAATTGATCTGTATGGTGAAAATTCTTGGCAAGGGAATGAGAGAAGTCCAAAGATGAAAACGAGCTGAGTTCAGTGGCTCAGCCTGTAATTCCAGCACTTTGGGAGGCCAAGGTGAGTGGATTGCTTGATCCTGTGGCTTCGCCACCAATCCGGAAAACTTGGCAAGACCTGGTCTCTACAATAAAAATCAAAAGAGTAGCCGGATGTGGTAGCGTACACCTCTCTGGCTGCTTGAAAGGCTGAGGCGGAAGGATCACTGGAGCAGGTCGACACTGGGGTGGCCGTGAGTGTGCCACTGCACTCCAGCCTGGGTGACAGAGAGACTCTGACTCAAAAAAAAAAAGTAAACTTCAATGTGGTTTACCGTGATGGATGTAAACCACATTGAGGAGTTGTTGCTGTCTAAGAGGCAATTGTCAAGGTACTGTAGATCCCCAGCCAAATGTCCTCCCTTCCTCAGCCTCCTGGTCCTCTGCACAAATGTCTTTATCATTTTTTGTCCATACCTACTTTTAATAAACAAAAATCTCAATGCCTTCCTTTTGCAAACTTTT